AATAAATGCGAATAAATTTATGGATTAATAACATTTAACTTTTATTTTAAATGACTTCACGCAATATTGACTCTGTTATACTTTTGTGATTAATCGTTCCAATCTAGAAATGTGTCAAGTCGTATGAGTGATAGCAGGGTTATAATTGCCATTTCGTGTTAGATTTATTGAAACAAATATATATATATATATATATATATATATATAATAAGAATAAATCTAATCGTTTCATCTGCTTTGTCAATACAAACCAATACTAGCTTTTACATTGCATTTATCGAACTAGTTTCGAACTAGATATAATACCAATCTGACGTACGTTTATACGAAATTTAGTATGATATAACTTTATCTTTTCTACCTGCAAATTAAATTACCCCACAAATATTTTGACCAAAATCAAAATGTATAGTATTATGACAAAGTAGCGCAATGCTCGAAAATAACATTTGCGGTTACACGCGGAACTTTAGACACCAAATACCGCAACCATAACATTTCATGATGTTCGAGTAGCGTGAAACAGAAACTGAAAAGCCAGACAGGATATACCTGACCTAACCCTTTAGCAAGAGATAACCAAGTACTGGTTGTGGTTAGTCATCCATGGAGGTTACACGAACCTAATGTTACTCATTGTATCTTTCACCAATCCGTTTCCGGAATATTCTCTTTTTTGAATAGATACACAATATAAAACAGTTAAACGGATCAATGATTAAAAAGACATTCAGTTTTATTGACTTTGCTCTTCACTTAGGCAGATAATACATTTAATAATAAAATATTTAATTAAATGTATTTTATAGAATTCAGAATATTTCTTATTTCAACTGATATACCAAGAAGATACTTGATTTACAATTTCATCTTTTAATGTCTCACATCTATTCATTCCTTGATAATTAATGGCTGAAATCCGATATCTAGATATTACTATATTATCTAAATATATATTCTTTTGTTATCTTTTATCTTAACTATTACAGTCTTCCTAATCAGACACTACATTAATTTACATTAATATTACCTGTACCCAATTATTGCACAGTTTTAATTGTTTTAAACACTATTTTTCCTTCGTATTCTTTTTTAACCTTCTCTCTAGAGATGACGTCTTATCATTAAAGAAACAATTTTTTAAATTATTTTTGCTCAAAAATGATTTATAAAGAATCTGTTGATATATTACACTATCGATGTATATATATATCGATGTATGCCTTTCTGATAGAAGTACTATACTTCAGTGTTCAACGCTACATACATTTCCACCTTCCTTAAATGTAACTATTCTGCACAGATCACGAATTTACTTCGAATTTAATTTTAATGTGAACGTTGCAAATATGCAACTCTCCGGACGGTCAATAATTAATTTTCCATACTTTTTCTATGCCTTATCTTTAGCTTTCTCTTATTTATCTCCTTAGCTTTCTCTTATTTATCTCTAATAAAGTATCTAATTAAATTTAAATATATATATAAAGGATACACTGTAGCGTCTCTTTCATGGCATGATATTATATTATATTATTATGTACTACAAAAATATACTTGACGGGAGCCGCTACCGCGTCTCCTGATATCAATGTAAATAATGAAATATATATATATGTATATCAATATAAACAATGAAATATAAATATATATATCAATATAAACAATGATTGTTTCTAAAAATATTATGTAACATCGGATTAACACATTGAATGTTGTAACAGATAATTGATAGAAAACAGTAAAGTACAAAGAAAAATAGTTTAAAAAGTTTTGTGTTTATACAGAAACCAACATGTTTTCGCCCGTTTGTCCACTTTTTCAAACATGTCTTCAAGTATTGTACGAATATACACTGACATACCGCAATATAGCAACATACTTCTTTCAATTGATGCACCGATGGTCCACTGCACGTAAAAGGATGAGAGAAACGCTGACCTACATACATCATACAGACTGCTGCTCTACACAAGCACTGCAATAGAATCGACCTAGTCGGTTGTTCTGTCGAAATCTCGACGACGTAAACTTTCCATGTCGGGTATGCCTTTCGTCCGAAACTCTCGTCCAGTCTCAAGAATCGTTTGAACCAAACTTTCCTCCCAAATCACTACCGAACGAGACTACAATCGTTTTCGATTTTGGCCAGAAAAAAAACAAATCTTTTCAGTATGATTTCACTTATCTTGTTGGCATAAAGCGTGTTTGAAGCGATCAAAGGTAATGTTTAAATATAGGAGACAAATATACACAAATCCAGAAAAATAATTGTCATTGAGGTATGACTGAAGTATGTACTTGAGAATCTCAAATCCGTGAAATGGTTCCTACATAACCGAAAAATTCCAATATAAATATCATCTAACCAAGGAAGGATTGCGCCAAGATCGTACTGAATCGTCGTTTCGTTGTTCGTTCTTCTGTATTTCTCGTGATGATCTCTTTAATGACGTACTCTGAAATAAATTCAACTTTCATACAGAGCACAAAAGAAGAAAAGCAAATCCATAATAATTGGTCTACCGAGAAATTTCACATCAATCTAAAGTTTGAAGCCGATTGAAGTACCTCAAGTGGTTTAATGCTTTCGGACGAAGCGATCTCTTCCGAATGCTGGGAAACATTGAAGCACTAGATTGTAGCCGAGAGCTGGCAATCATACTGCGGCGAAGTTTCGCCACTTGAAATTTCCGAGCATCTTGTCCAGCTTGCCAGCGCTCGTGAAAAGTCTGCAAATTAATATTATTATGTAAACAAAATGCTGTAACGGGAATTAGCATATTTATGTCGACGTAAACGCGACTTTGCAATTTCTCTTGCTATTTATCTTGTTTAAAATAGAAAGTTTAAGATAGAAATACATATTATACATATAATATATATAGATACATTTCTAACATGAATATATTATGCTATTTAATTATTATAATTAGCAGACAATGGGATCAACAAATTTATCTTTATATATATATATATATAAATACTATAAAAAATAAATCTTATTGTTATGAAATATGTAAGGCGTCATCCCTATTTTAACACAGTAATTGTTAAATATATTTTAGTACTCTTAAGTATATTTTTGTACTGTTTAAAATAATTAGTCTAATTGATTAGTTATACGCATGCCATAGTTGCAGCAGAAATAAAAAATTGAAAGGTATTGCTAATTTATTTGCGAAAAAATTTAGAAACTCAAATTAAAAGAGGTATTTAATCTCATGATGAAAAGAGAACAATTTAATTAAATTAAGAATCTTAATTTAATTAGAATAAGATTTAAAATTATTCACTTACATATTTATCATTTATTTCCGGGATAAAAATGTATAAATTCATTACACGTAATCTGATATTGCGCATTTATATGCTTCACACAAGGCATTTCGATAGAAACACCGTGATTGGCCGCGAGGTTTATACCTAATGTTTTATGCATTCTCTTTCTACAATGATCTTAAAGCATCAACAGAGGAAGGAAGCAAGCAACCCGTCTGAGGAGAATGCGGGCAGGTCTGCCGCATTCCCCTGGAGGTTGGGATCGTATTTCCGGCTCTCACAATTTTACTATTTATGCAATATTGTACTCGGTCCCATCGGATCACAAGATAGGTCGTAGCACTTGAGCAGGGGCGAAGTTACTAAGTACCGCTAAAACCAGTTCTCCACTTCGTAAACTCTGTCGTTTGTTAAGTAGTAACGATTGTAATTGCGAGAAATACGTAAATTATTTGCGGGAAATATAAATACTTTTTTTACTTGCATTATGTGTATCTATATTTGTAAAATAATGCATTTTATGAAAATAATTATTATTTTAATATTCATATTCCCAAGAGATAGACTGGTCTATTATTTCTTTTTATTTGTGTATTCTTTGCTTTTGTGGAAAAATTAAACAGTTTTGCGCACTGAGGATTTAACAATTAAAGTTCTCTAATGAAATTTGTTTATATTAAAATATCAGTCAAGTTAGAGTGGAAGAATAAACAACCTGTTATCTAAAAGAGATTTTCTGTTCTCGTTTGACGTCATATTAAAAACAAGATGTAGCAAAATGTGTCTCACCCGTTGTAGACTATAATTACATTTCATGTCATGTTTACATAACACATAATTGCATTCTTTTTAATACTTTAATGTTTAATTAAAATAAATTTTATGATCACATTACTGTGTATATATTGATATAATAATATATTTTACTTTACAATTTTTTGCAGTTATATGAAGTAATAAATATGTTTCCATTTCATGTGGTTTAATGTAATGGTCGTTCATCTTTTTCGCTTTATTTACACAAAGTGTCGATGTATCGAACAGGATTATTTTAATGTGACATATCTCCGTACCAAATCTCTTTCCTGTATCACGCAATACATAGATTACTATTATTTACATAAGAGCAATATTTTGTACCATTACCATTTTATTATGACTTTTTTATATCTGTAGAAATAATTATTTTGCATGCCCGTCAAGAGGCATTAAAAGTACGCTTGACGCATTATTTTCAGATGCAATCCGATCGGTTATGTTAATCCAATTTATATCAACTCGAATATATATATATATATATATATATATGTGTGTGTGTGTGTGTGTGCTGATATAGCTCCACGTTTTTTTTAGCAATATTTGTTTTAATTAAAATCCAATATATATCTCTCATATATCGTTATGAATGAACATGTCTATCAAACAGATCTTTTTGGATACTTAATTTGCTAAATTAAAATATTTTTTATATTAAAAATGCGAATGTTCAGCATATATATATTTTATGTCATTATGTTTCATTTTTCATATTTTTTATCATATATTTTACCTATTTTTTACTTCTTATTGTAAAACTAATTAATAAATAAAAAATATTGATGAAAACCGATAAATAAATAGCAAAATTTTTATAAGAATTTATAAATAAATAATAAATAGTTTGAATATTTATTTACATTATTTCTGATTGTGTGTGTCAATTAATATCTGTGTTTCAGATATCGTGGATCCGGCGACGTGACTTTCACGTTTTAACAAGCTCGATGTTCACATACACGAACGACGAGCGATTTCAAGTACTACATCCCGAGGGCTCGGACGATTGGACCCTTCAAATAAAATACGTCCAAGAAAGAGACAATGGGACGTACGAGTGTCAGGTAATGTAACCCCCTATACATAAACAACCCTACGGGTTAATTGATTCAATATATTTTAACAAGTGTTTCTCAACTTTTATCGCACGATGTATCATTCTCAATTGTTCGTTTTATTATTGTCCGCTGTTTCTCTTTCCTTTTTTACTTTTTTGAAGAGTGAAACTGACGAATCACTCGATTTACGTTGATAACACACCATTTTTTACGGTTTATTATTATTATTAATATTCGCCGTTGGACTTTCTAATATAACTCCCGAATTACTATCTTTGGATGTATACATTTCTATCTTCAGATCGAATATACATATATTTCAATAATTACATGCTACATGAAAGTATATGAGCGTATATCATCAAGTGGTATACAGATACTGCATATATATACAGCGGGGGTAATAAATCCTTCCATTAATAATTCGAAACATCGCTAATTATGCGCACCGCAATGTATGCGTCATCAATTTGGCATCAAGTCGATGTATATTCAATATCTAATGTTATAAAATATTTATCATTGCAAAACATTATCCTCTTTTATAACTTTTTGTTAATATAACTGATATTTACAATATTAGTAAATTATTTTTAAAAAAGTGAAAAGAGATAATGTTTGTGAATTGTATGATTTTGCTCACATACGAGACATAAAGTAACCCGGTCTAAATTGAAAATGTATTGGACCGGAAAAAAATTTTACGAGGATGCTATAAAAATTACTCTAATGTGGACAGAAAATAATTTCGATGTCCAGTTAATGGCTCCGTAATTAGAGAACTAATCCAAAACTAGAGAACTTTTTCGCTAATATTATTAAGTACGATATTGGGGACACTAACACGTAAATCCGCATGACGTGAGCAATACGAATAAACCGTTCTTGCTGCATATTCATACATTTTTCCGGCTAATGGAACGGCAAACACAAGCTCGCGGCAAGTACGTGCGAGCTCGAAAGAAATCGGACAGCGTGAATAACGAGACATGATGCCCGCTTGCGTTCGCTGTCGAGTAAACTCTGAAAACCTGTAGCAGTCTCTGACCTTTCTAAAGTTTCTCCGGGTGAAGGCCCAAGTTTGGGATAGCAAAGACGGCCTCTTATGTTAATTTCGGGGTGCGAATATAGTATAACCACGAAACTTTTTCCAATGAACTTAGTAAACCGCCGTTTTCGCATTGCTCGTTTTCTCTATCTTCATGCTTCGAAGTTCGAAAGACACCTCTGGCTCGTTGTCGTAACCAGCGATCTTTAGAGACTTTAATTAATTATCGGCAAGTAAGTAAAAGATAGGACATTATCCTTTGAGCTCTGTATATTTTTTGCGAAAATGTCAATAAAAATGTTTCAGAATCAATCATCAAATTCTCAATCATAAAGATCATAAAGTCGGAATTCATTTAAGAATATAAAGCAGAATGAAATATAGAATAAAATATCTGTAATAATAGATACAGATATTGTTTTAATACATTGGAAGAAATGAAATGATACATAAAATGATTAACAACAAAATCCATTTATTATAAAATAACGTTATAATTAAATGATATACAATAATGGAAATTAATAAATATTCAATGTACAACGTAATATTAAAAGCCGATTACATCATTGAAATTTAGATTGTACTTTTAGACAATAATATAATTATAACAAAGCTAATGGATATTATATAATAGATTGTGGTGCTAGTTACACTTAAATAATTCGTCTATGATAACTTAATCAGAATACAAAATAATTTACGTTATTGTACAGGAATCTTTATTTTTATTCATTAAAAGCACTTTCTGAATTATTTTGAAGCTTTTTCATTTTACAGTCAGATATCTGGAAATAACTCGGACAGTTAATTAACTTTGATTGTACTGAAGTTTATTTAAAATTATAACGAATTATTTAAATGATACATATATATAGCACCTATTAATCGACACCGGTAATGAACCTAGCGCCCAATTTTATCAAAAATAAAATGGATATCGTAGTACTTTTCTAATCGGCAAAGAATTGATTTTAAAAATAAATGAATGTCTATCAACTATTGTTGAATGACGCGGCGTTCCATCTATTTGACCATAGAAAGAGAGAAGAGACGAGTGTGGTCGCAATGCAATTTCTCGACACCTCATTATGCAACGAGGTCATTGAGCGTGGAAATCACTGTGTTACAAAGTCGATAATACGTGGGTGTCTTCCTGACTAACGTGTATATTATAACGCTCGAGATGAATATCGCCCACACAATGTCCACGACGGTCCGTCATTGCGGTTTCTAATTAAAAGTCATGGGGGGATAAACGTCCGAAGCGATTGCTTGTCTCACAATGACGAACCGCATAGTCGGATAACGGATTACTCGTTAATCTTAGCGTGTAACAGTGTCCCAAGCCACGTATCAGTTATTATACCATGCACTGAATTACAATTCCTCATTTCTCGAACTCGCGTAATTGGATTTGTTTATTCCAAATAAAACTAACTATTTGAAGCGACATAAAAATTAATTACAGATAAACTTGCATTATACAGATCATATTGCTATAATTTCGATATCTTTACGCGAGTAAATCGGAATTTATATTTTGCACGAATAAAATTAAATCATGTATGCATGTACGTGCGTAATAAGGAGAATGCAAATTGTACCGGATTAAGATAATTGCTTTCTGAAGTTCTTGCTTGAATATGAAGTTCATTGCAACTACAGAACTTCGATAATTTGACTGCTAACAATCATATCCTTGATGGAACATGCACTTTTGGAAGAGATCCTTGATTCATTGGACATGATCGAATGTTGCCGTTTTTCCTGTTCTTTCCTTTGTAAATTACATTTTCTTTTTATAGATCTTGTCCTCGAATAATGTTTACAAGATCGGATAAATTAAGATGACGCTACGCAACGAAAAGCATCAAAGATGGGACAGTTTCTCGCGAGTTCTCTTATCTCCGTTATTGCCCCAGCAAACATTTTAGCGTGAAAAAGCAGCAGCGTAGCTATCGCAAACGACAGATATAGTGCGGTGACCATTTTATTGCGAACGTCGTGGCGATTAAGTGTAATTGAAGATGGAGCGATGGAAAGCTTTGGGAGTAATCGAGACCTCACTACTGCGCGCGCGGAACGTCTGTAAAAATATGAAAAACGGATAATATGTACTTTCATTGTTTGTAATATATTTTTCATTGTTTTTACAAAATTTTATTCAATTAAAATTTAGATCATCTATCTTTTTCGTTAAATATGAAATTATTCGGCACATAAAAAGTATAAATTGTTATTTTATCTAATTTGGAAAACTTAACAAATGAAAATATAATTAAAATTTTATTACATGTACTACGTGCACGCACAATATGCACAATTATGCACGCAAAGTACATTTCATGTATAAAGATTTTAATTTATATTTATTTTATTTATGTTTGCTTATTTTTATCCGTAATTTATGCCACTATAATATTTCTTTGTAATGAATTTCATATAATATTAAAAAAGTAATAAAATTGTCCAAAATTTGCTGCTCGTAAATTCGAATGCTTCTCCACAGCTTTCGTCATTTTTATTTCATTGAAAGGTACAGATTTATCTGAAAGACGCGCTGAGATATTTTAACTTCAAACCTCCAACACTTTTGCATTTAATAATTGAGTACACCGTAGAACCGTTTGCTTATCGCCGGGTAAAACTGTTGAAAAATACGAGACAAAACTGTGCAATGCTCCAGGCGTCTTCATCGCAACATGGACCATGCAAGCTGGAAGTAGCGACGGTATTAAATGCCGAGTTTAATTACACGTCCAGCCTTACGACGGCTACAAAAAGAAATTAATTAAGGCAAACCTTGAGTTGTTACGTAGTACGTAAGTCAAGGTACTTAACTTTTTACGCGTCTTCGAAGGAGTAATGGAAAGCTCGTTTCGCGCTTATCGCAAGCTCTGTCGTAGCCGCAGCTGGCTACGGCTGAGATTGGTTGTACACCTACAGCTGCACGGAAAGTGGGTCGCCTGTGAGACACACAGCACGAGAAGTCCCTTCGGCGCTGAAGATAAGTACTTTCTCGCCTTGGCTCGTGTCGAAGCAAACGCAGTCACGATCGTGGGACTCGTTAAGCTTTTGGACGAAGTTTATGCCCGCGCTGCGAAACGCTGGGCTAAACCGAGATTCTGATGGAGGTCAAATTTGGCAGTTAATCTCGAACGAAGCCCAGGATTTATGTCCGACAATACGCTCCGTGCGATATCTTACTTAATTTGTTCGGGATTAAAATACGAGCGCTCGCGCGACATTTCATTAATTCGCGAAATTACATTGATTATTATGTAATTACGTAATAATTTAGATATCTCATTCGCTCTTTCCATAAACATTAGACTTCTCTTAACTTTACTTATTATTTATATGATCCATTTCAGAATATATCGTTATTACTATTATAGAATACATAATCAAATTGAAATAGTATTGTTATATATACCATGCTATTGAAACATTAATTTATTTTACTATAATAATATAATCTGCAAGTCTAAATAGTAAAAGCACTACTGTGATTTAACATTTTTTTTTAAGATAATTATAGTAATTGTCTATAATTTAGTTAATGTTAACTATTTCGAAGTCAAATCAGGCCATTTAATATCCAGCTATCTACGCATCCTTAATTTTATGCCATTTCAACGAGCGCTAATGCAAAGCCATCATAATCGCGACTTCTTATAGTGGTGAATAAATCTCTTAGGGATAAGAACTCCGAAAGTAGCTCAGCAGGATCGTTAAGCTCTCAAAAAGGTTCATTATTAAGCTTTCAATGCAACAATTTGTCATAGTTCGTTCAATGAGACTTGTATCCGATACTTATCTGTAAGAACTAATTCATTAGTTTTACCTTTCTGGTGTAACGACATGAATCTAGCATAATATGAGTATTTCTTGCGTTAACTGAAAATGAACGCTTCGACTAATGTGCCGAGTTTAATTGAGCTCGAACCACTGT